CTCCCTGGTGGTCTCACCCTCCGCTCATAGCACATCCCTCCCTGGTGGTCTCACCCTCCGCTCACAGCACATCCATCCCTGGTGACCTCACCCTCCGCTCACAGCACATCCCTCCCTGGTGGTCTCACCCTCCGCTCACAGCACATCCCTCCCTGGTGGTCTCACCCTCCTCTCATAGCACATCCCTTCCTGGTGACCTCAACCTCCACTCACAGCACATCCCTCCCTGGTGATCTCACCCTCCACTCACAGCACATCCCTCCCTGGTGATCTCACCCTCCACTCACAGCACATCCCTCCCTGGCCACCTCACCCTCCACTCACAGCACATCCCTCCCTGGTGACCTCACCCTCCACTCACAGCACATCCCTCCCTGGCCACCTCACCCTCCGCTCACAGCACATCCCTCCCTGGCCACCTCACCCTCCGCTCACAGCACATCCCTCCCTGGTGTCCTCACCCTCCTTTTTTAAAGCAATCCACTGAGCTGGCCAGAACCAACTCTTGAGGGAGTCTATTCCACATTTTCACAGCTCTCACTGTGAAGAAACCTTTCCATGTTTGGAGATTACATTTCGTTTCCTCCAGACGTAAAGAGCGCCCCCTTGTCCTCTGAGGCCTATATGCGAATGTAATAGAAAACAAAAAGTATCCTATAAAAAGGACCATATCTCTACAAACAGACATCCATTCTAGATAGTCTTAGAAGCAGAAGGGTGCAAAACCATCGTTCTCATGAAACTCTATTATGTTGTCCTGCAGAAAAGCAGAATTAGAAGAGTTGGAGCCTTCAGCAGCATGCTAACGATGGATGGCATCAATGGACGGCTCCTTAATGAGGCATGTGACAGGCTGACTTAGTGGAAGGCAGTTGCGAAACAGTAGTCACAGCAGCCCCTGGCGGCTTCAATGGGCCACAGTGGGGGGGGGGGGGGGGGGGGATACTGAGACAAAATAAATAGAAAATCTGTGAAGAGAACACAAACCCATCACTTGTATCAAGGATTGAAGAGGTTGCTGCCGACACTGCCCCTGCACCACTATGACATTTCCCATCTAGAAAAGCTGACATCAGACATACAGACTTCAGAATCATTTCCCCTTTACAGACTGTGCAGTACGGGGGATTTGTTTAGCAATGTAGATTTACCCCCCGGTTCACATATCTGCGTTCCTGTGGTCCACGTTTTGCACGGACACGAGAGCCCATTCATTTGAATGGACTCCAGTGCCCCGGGACACGCAGGGAAGAAGTCCCTGCACTTCTGAAAACACAGCCGAGGTTCGCAGTACGGTAGCGTTTCCCAGTGCGGGCGGCGTGCCGTTAGAATGAATGGCACCCGCCCGTGGGTCCGCATTCTTCTGTGCGGTGGTGCGGCTGCACGGATTTTTGTGTGGATCCGCAGCGGCACCACCTGCACAGATGTGAACCTAGCCTTATTGCTCTCAGAGTTTCTAGACATCCCGGCCAGCACTGAAATTTTCTTGTATGTCTAACCCCCGGTTCACATCTGTGCGGCCGCGTTTTGCACGGGCAAGGGAGCCCATTCATTTGAATGGACTCCGTGCCTGTGAACCACAAGCAAGAAGTCCCTTCACTTCTTCTGAAAATGCAGCCCACAAGGGAACCTCGATTTTTGAGCGGATCCGCAGTGGCACCACCCGCACATATGTGAACCTAGCCTTATTGCTCCCACAGTTTCTAGACATCCCGGCCAGCACTGAAATTTTCCTGTATGCTAAAGCAGACTTCCTCAGGCTGTAACCCCCCCCCCCCAAAGTATTTCTATTTGCAATGATATAGGGTCTAGACATCCGGCCAGCATTGAAGATTTTCCTAAAAAGTCATGTGGGCTGATTTACTGAGGCTGCATTCACACTGATCCAATTTTCTTCCACTTTTGCTTTAAAAAAAAAAAAAAAGAAAAGCAAACATGTGACCACGTAATCCTATGGAACTCTTCACACTGATACATTGCGGGTCTTTTTTGCTTTTTTTGCATTTTTGGTGTAGGTTTGTTGCAGTAAAAAAAAAAAAGCAGGAAAAATGCACCCACGTTACCTTTTTTGGTGTGGTTTTTTTAGTCACGTGTCCCTGTAAAAAAACGCACCTTAAACGTGGCAAAAATGCATCAGTATGAAAGTAGCCTTAACCAGTTCCCGTCCGGTCCATGCATATAAACGGCCGGACGGGAGCAGCGCAGGAGCGGGTGGCTGTTTATAAACGTCCTCCCTGCCCCCTGCTTGTTCGCGCTCCCTGGGCGCAGCACCAACCTTTGTACACGACCTCTGTGTGAGCTCCAGATCATTTGATCACTGATTGGTCAATCAGTGGTCACATGAAGAGAAGTAAGCCAGATGTCACTTGTGAATAATCACAGATGTCACAAGGTAAAGGGCTATTCACAACAGCCTTGTACCATGTGATAAGCTGTGATCAATCACAGCTCACACAGTATTTCTCAACGGCTGCAGGAATGCAGCCAGAGAGAAGGAGAAATGATTGCTTTTACAGCCTTTATGGGTGTAAAAGCAATCAGTGTAAAAAAAAAAAAAAATCTTCATCACCCCCCACAAGTAGTACAGTGTCACCATGGTGACACTGTACTGCTAGGGTGACAGTGTGTAAAAAAAACCTCCCAAAAAACACAAATAATAATATAAAAAAATAAAATAAAAATGTAAAAAAAAATTTTTTTAAAATTATAATTTTTGGTTATAAACTAATTTGGGTTATCTTTTTTTTTTTACTAAAAAGATAACGGAATACATTTTGGCCAAGATTTAGGAAGAAAGATTATTTATTTACAAAATGTTTATAAGAAAAACATTGTTTTTCAAAATTTTTGGACTTTTTCATTTACATAGCAAAAAAAATAAACATCCCAGCAGTGAATAAATACCATCAAAATAAAGTTTTATCTGTCTCAAAAAAATGCTTAAAAATACATATGGGTGCAGTGTTGCATGACTGCGCAATTGTCATTCAAAGTGTGATAGCGCTGAAAGCTGAAAATTGGCCCGGACTGTGAGGGGGGGGTCCAAAAGTGGGGGGGGGGGGGGGGAAGTGGGGGGAATCCGGACTGGAAGGGGGGGGAAAGTGTCCGGACTGGAAGGGGGGGGGGGGGAAGTGTCCGGACTGGAAGGGGGGGGAAAGTGTCCGGACTGGAAGGGGGGGGAAAGTGTCCGGACTGGAAGGGGGGGGAAAGTGTCCGGACTGGAAGGGGGGGAAGTGTCCGGACTGGAAGGGGGGGAAGTGTCCGGACTGGAAGGGGGGAAAGTGTCCGGACTGGAAGGGGTTTGAAAGTGTCCGGACTGGAAGGGGGGGGGGGAAGTGTCCGGACTGGAAGGGGGGAAGTGTCCGGACTGGAAGGGGGGGAAGTGTCCCGGACTGGAAGGGGGGAAGTGTCCGGACTGAAAGGGGAAAGTGTCGGACTGGAAGGGGGAAAGTGTCCGACTGGAAGGGGGGAAAAAGTGTCCGGACTGGAAGCGGGGAAAGTGTCCGGACTGGAAGGGGGGAAAGTGTCCGGACTGGAAGGGGGAAAGTGTCTGGACTGGAAGGGGGGGAAAGTGTCCGGACTGGAAGGGGGGAAGTGTCCGGACTGGAAGGGGGGGGGGGGGGGGGGAGTGTCCGGACTGGAAGGGGGGGGGGGGGGGAAGTGTCCGGACTGGAAGGGGGGGGGGGGGGGGGAGTGTCCGGACTGGAAGGGGGGGGGGGGAGTGTGTCCGGACTGGAAGGGGGGGGAAGTGTCCGGACTGGAAGGGGGGAAAGTGTCCGGACTGGAAGGGGGGGAAAAGTGTCCGGACTGGAAGGGGGGGGAAAGTGTCCGGACTGAAGGGGGGGAAAGTTCCGGACTGGAAGGGGGGGAAGTGTCCGGACTGGAAGGGGGGGAAAAGTGTCCGGACTGGAAGGGGGGGAAAGTGTCCGGACTGGAAGGGGGGGAAAGTGTCCGGACTGGAAGGGGGGGGGGGAAAGTGTCCGGACTGGGGGGGGAAAGTGTCCAGACTGGAAGGGGGGGAAAGTGTCCGGACTGGAAGGGGGGGGAAGTGTCCGGACAGGAAGGGGGGGGAAAGTGTCCGGACTGGAAGGGGGGGGAAAGTGTCCGGACTGGAAGGGGGGGGAAAGTGTCCGGACAGGAAGGGGGTGAAAGTGTCCGGACAGGAAGGGGGGGGAAGTGTCTGGACTGGAAGGGGGGGAAAGTGTCCGGACAGGAAGGGGGGGAAAGTGTCTGGACTGGAAGGGGGGGAAAGTGTCCGGACTGGTGGAAGGGGGGGAAAGTGTCTGGACAGGAAGGGGGGGGGGAAGTGTCCGGACTGGAAGGGGGGGAAGTGTAAGCGGACAGGAAGGGGGGGGAAAGTGTCCGGACTGGAAGGGGGGAAAGTGTCCGGACTGGAAGGGGGGGAAAGTGTCCGGACTGGAAGGGGGGGAAAAAGTGTCCGGACTGGACTGGGGGAAGGGGGAAAGTGTCGGACTGGAAGGGGGGGGAAAGTGTCCGGAAAGTGTCCGGACAGGAAGGGGGGGGAAAGTGTCTGGACTGGAAGGGGGGGAAAGTGTCTGGACTGGTGGGGCGGGGGAAAGTGTCTGGACTGGAAGGGGGAAAGTGTCTGGACTGGAAGGGGGGGAAAGTGTCCGGACTGGAAGGAGGGGAAAGTGTCCGGACTGGAAGGGGGGGGGGAGTGTCCCGGACTGGAAGGGGGGGGAAAGTGTCCGGACTGGAAGTGGTTATAAAGGCTGTACTGGAAGGGGGGGAAAGTGTCCAGACTGGAAGGGGGGAAAGTGTCCGGACTGGAAGGGGGGGAAAGTGTCCGGAATGGAAGGGGGGGAAAGTGTCTGGACTGGAAGGGGGGGAAAGTGTCTGGACTGGAAGGGGGGGAAAGTGTCTGGACTGGAAGGGGGGAAAGTGTCCGGACTGGAAGGGGGGGAAAGTGTCCGGACTGGAAGGGGGGGAAAGTGTCCGGACTGGAAGGGGGGGGAAAGTGTCCGGACTGGAAGGGGGGGAAAGTGTCCGGACTGGAAGGGGGGGAAAGTGTCCGGACTGGAATGGGGGGGAAGTGTCCGGACTGGAAGGGGGGGGAAAGTGTCCGGACTGGAAGGGGGGGGGGGGGGGAAGTGTCCGGACTGGAAGGGGGGGGGGGGGGGAAGTGTCCGGACTGGAAGTGGTTATAAAGGCTGAAGGTTTGTTTTTTTAACATCAAGCATTCTATGCATGAAGGTAAAAAACCTTCTGTGTGCTGCTCCCCCCACAGCCGCCCCCCGAATACTCGCTCATTACCTCAGTGAGTAATGGGTGAATTTATTGAATTGAGATATATACTCACAAAAGTAGCAATAATAAAAGCAGCAGTGAGTATATATATCTCAATTCAATAAATTCACCCTTTACTCACTGAGGTAACGCTCAAGGTTGGTGCGCTTTTGTTTTTGTTCTCTGTTACAGTATTTATTGCGCTTCCCCAGCCTTGTGTTAGAGCTGCACAACCTTTGATCGGCTATTGGATGAACCTTCATACATGGTTCTACCTGCTGAATTCTGATCTGGGTCTCTTGAGCGCAGGTCTTGTTTCTGTTTCCACCCCCCCTAATACTCACTTGGGCCCCCTCTCGATCCAATGATGTGCACGGGAGCCTCAGCTGTCCCAGGTCTCTCTCTCCTCATTGGTTGAGACACAGCAGTGGGAGACATTGTCTCCCATTGCTGTCAATTACAGCCAGTGAGCCAATGAGGAGAAAGTGTGTGTGGGGGGGGAAGGGGGAAGGTGAGCCGCTGCTTTATGTGTCTTATGGACACAGAGTGGGACTCGGGAGCGAGCATGAACCAGTGCCCCCATAGCAAGTGGCTTGCTATTGGGGGCAGTGGTCAAGGGGGAGTAACCAGGAACGCCAGTGGGGGACCCGAGAATAAGAGGATCGGGGGCTGTGCAGAACCACTGAGCACAGCAGGTAAGTATTATTATTTTTATTTATTTCAGGTACTTATATAGCGCCGTCAATTTACGCAGCACTTTACATATATATTGTACATTCACATCAGTCCCTAACCCTCAAGGGGCGTACAGTCTAAGGTCCCTAACCCTCAGGGGGCGTACAGTCTAAGGTCCCTAACCCTCAAGGGGCGTACAGTCTAAGGTCCCTAACCCTCAGGGGGCGTACAGTCTAAGGTCCCTAACCCTCAGGGGGCGTACAATCTAAGGTCCCTAACCCTCAGGGGGCGTACAGTCTAAGGTCCCTAACCCTCAGGGGGAATACAATCTAAGGTCCCTAACCCTCAAGGGGTGTACAATCTAAGGTCCCTAACCCTCAAGGGGTGTACAATCTAAGGTCCCTAACCCTCAAGGGGTGTACAATCTAAGGTCCCTAACCCTCAAGGGGCGTACAATCTAAGGTCCCTAACCCTCAAGGGGCGTACAATCTAAGGTCCCTAACCCTCAAGGGGTGTACAATCTAAGGTCCCTAACTCACATTCATACATACACATACTAGGGCCAATATAGACAGGAGCCAACTCACCTACCAGCATGTCTTTGGAGTGTGGGAGGAAACTGGAGTATCCGAAGGAAACCCACACAGGCACAGGGAGAACATGAAAACTCCAGGCAGGTGGTGCCGTGTTTGGGATTCAAACCAATGACTCTAGTACTGCCAGGCGGAAGTGCTAACCATTTAGCCACTAAGCTGCCCACATGTTTGTCCTTTTTAAACAAACCTTTACTATCACTTTAAGGCAAATAGAATGGGCACTTTGCCCCAGAGCTTAGTAAATGGGCAGAAGCTCGGATCACCTCCATCATCCAATCACGTGCAAGCAAAATGCTGTTTTTTTTTTTAAATTTATTTTCCTTGCATGTGATTGAATGCGTTCTGCACGGTTGGGAAGGGGGTTGTTGAAGAGCAACAATGGGTTGTGCTCGTTGGGCATTACCATAGTGCCCGCTGACCGCGATGGAGGTAGAATTCTTGCTGCGGCTTGTGTATACCCCAGTAGTGTATTTATGTTCTGTGCTGCCCTAGGCAATACAAAAGATCTGCCGTCCCTAACCCTTGCCTGCGGGGTCCGGGGAGAGCGGATATAGTGAATGCGGGGTCCGGGGAGAGTGGATATAGTGAATGCGGGGTCCGGGGAGAGCGGATATAGGGAATGCAGGGTCCGGGGAGAGCGGATATAGTGAACGCGGGGACCGGGGAGACCGGATATAGTGAATGCAGGGTCCGGGGAGACCGGATATAGTGAATGCGGGGTCTGGGGAGAGCGGATATAGTGAACGCGGGGGGACCGGGGAGACCGGATATAGTGAATGCAGGGTCCGGGGGAGAGCGGATATCGTGAATGCAGGGTCCGGGGAGAGCGGATACAGCGAATGCGGGGTCCGGGGAGAGTGGATATAGTGAATATGGGGCCTTGGGAGAGCGGATATAGGGAATGCGGGGTCCGGGGAGAGCGGATATAGGGAATGCGGGGTCCGGGGAGAGCGGATATAGTGAATATGGGGCCTTGGGAGAGCGGATATAGGGAATGCGGGGTTCAGGGAGAGCGGATATAGTGAATGTAGGGTTCGGGGAGACCAGATATAGTGAATACGGGGCCTTGGGAGAGCAGATATAGTGAATGCAGGGTCCGGGGGAGAGCGGATATAGTGAATGCAGGGTCCGGGGAGACCAGATATAGTGAATACGGGGCCTTGGGAGAGCAGATATAGTGAATGCAGGGTCCGGGGAGAGCGGATATAGTGAATGCAGAGTCCGGAGAGAGCGGATATAGTGAATGCAGGGTCCGGGGAGAGCGGATATAGTGAATGCGGGGTCCGGGGAGAGCGGATATAGTGAATGCGGGGACCAGGGAGAGCGGATATAGTGAATGCGGGGTCTGGGGACAGCGGATATAGTGAATGCGGGGTCTGGGGGACAGCGGATATAGTGAATGCGGGGTCCGGGGACAGTGGATATAGTGAATGCGGGGTCTGGGGACAGTGGATATAGTGAATGCGGGGTCCGGGGAGAGCGGATATAGTGAATGCGGGGTCCGGGAGAGCGGATATAGTGAATGCAGGGTCCGGGGAGAGCGGATATAGTGAATGCGGGGTCCGGGGAGAGCGGATATAGTGAATGCGGGGACCAGGGAGAGCGGATATAGTGAATGCGGGGTCTGGGGACAGCGGATATAGTGAATGCGGGGTCCGGCGAGAGCGGATATAGTGAATGCGGGGACCAGGGAGAGCGGATATAGTGAATGCGGGGACCAGGGAGAGCGGATATAGTGAATGCGGGGTCTGGGGACAGCGGATATAGTGAATGCGGGGTCCGGGGACAGTGGATATAGTGAATGCGGGGTCCGGGGACAGTGGATATAGTGAATGCAGGGTCCGGGGTTTAGTAACACTTTAAACTTGGAGAGGAAGAAGCAGCTCAAGAGGCCAATCAAGTGCGATGCATTACAAGAAGCATGCTGATAGGAGGTGAAAGCAGAGTGAGGGAGTTGAATTCATAAGTCTGATGCTAAACACATTCCAGTTATATCAAAGAAAAGTCAGAGTTTGTTTTCTTTAGAAAGCAGCCACAGCCTGAGTAGAAACTCCTGCCCCCTGCCAGCATGCTGGTGAGAAGGCCCCAGTGGAAGCAGTGGTCTATCAGCAAATTTCCAAAACACCTTCTGCAGAGTCAGAGATTCTCCAATTATCAAAGCTCTTGCTTCCTGCAGTTTGCAAAAGCGCCAGCTCTGATTGGTCGGGGGGGGGGGGGGTGCTGCACCTCTGCAGAGAGACACAGAGAGCAAGGGTCATTCTCAACAGCATGCTGGCAGTGGACAGGCTTCAAAACGAAGTCAGCAAAAGTCAGCAATGGCAGTCCGTCCCCTTTAATCCATGTCTCCTAGATATCCGTTCCAGCCCTGGAAGCTTTTGCGCACATTATACAAGGAGCGATAGAATTAGCATCTCATTTTGGGGCCGCGGCCCGCATCCGCTGCCCCATACACCTTTTTGCCCCGGGGCACTCTGAAATCCATCCGCAGATTGGCACCAGCAGATTTCCCTTACCGCCAACCGATCTAATTTTCCGCCTTCAGCAATTAATTTGTATGGAAACGTTAGCGTGACGAATGACCCACATATCAGCCTTCCTGGCTTGGCGCTGTCACTCTCAGCCTGCGGAGATTGAAGCGCAGTTGGCTCCTTTTGCTTGACATTAATTTACCTGGTGGGTTGCGGCACAAAGAACCGGCGAGCGATTGTTACTGTTCCCTGCTCATGTTTTGTAAGCTGAATTCTTTCCAGAAGTGACCGGCTGGCACTCGAACAAGTGCAGAGGAAGGAAATAAATGAATTTGAGAAGACGGAGCCCACAAGTGCGCCTATTTATACACCTCGCATTAATGCCGGAATTTATTGGCTGCTGGGCAGCACTAAAAAACGGTGAATAATGGTTTTTTCCTTTTTCGGCTTTAGTGACACTCTGCCCGGGCCGCTAAGACAAAAACAAGGAACAAAGTCTACTTGCCCAGAGAATTAGCCTTTTGTTCTGGTAATTCCGTAGTGTACCGGGCAACCCTGCGGCGAGTGAAACAATCATTGTGCTGGTCGTTAGGTGTTCTGGGGCAACGTTTTTCTTCCTATCACAGGACGCCTGGCTCTGGTGCTTTACTGCATGAAGCAAGGTCTTAACACTTAACCTCCCGTAAAAGGTGGCTGCAAACCTCTGAAATGGAAAATGAACAAAGCATATCCCTCTACAGTGTGTACTTGCCTCAGTCCAAAGCACCCAGTATCATTTATAATAAGATCAAAGTAGAAAATCGAGCGGTAAAACCGTAAGCAGCTGATGCACCGAAAAGGTAACCAAAACCAACCTCCAAAGTAATCAAATAAATATAGGTGCGGCGAGTGAAACAATCATTGTGCTGGTCATTAGGTGTTCTGGGGCAACATTTTTCTTCCTATCACAGGATGCCTGGCTCTGGTGCTTTACTGCATGAAGCAAGGTCTTAACACTTAACCTCCCATAAAAGGTGGCTGCAAACCTCTGAAATGGAAAATGAACAAAGTATATCCCTCTACAGTGTGTACTTGCCTCAGTCCAAAGCACCCAGTATCATTTATAATAAGATCAAAGTAGAAAAGTGAGCGCTAAAACCGTAAGACCGCCATCCACGACCTCTTTGTTTCCCGTT